GCGGGCAGCCCAGACGCGTCTGGGCTGTCCGCTGCCCGCGTGTTGCGCCGCTTTGCTTCTTCTCCCTGGTCTGCTGGAGACCAGGGAGAGGGAGGGCCCCGTTCGTAACTGCGGATCCGACATAAGTCGGATCCGCATAACTCGGGGACTGCCTGTAATACCAAAAGATGAAAATATTCTCTGTCCCTGCAGAGGAAGCTACTGCTGTGAAAAGTTGCTTTAGCAGCTGAAGGAACTCTGTTTCAAGTGCCTGGCTAATGATTTCCACCAATTCAGGGGAGTAACTTTGTTAAAAACATAATCAGTAAACTTGTTCTGATTAAATAATTTTGCTCCAGCCCTGAAAATTATTATGAGTGGCCTAACTGATAAGTGATTTTGAGATGCCCATGCTATGGCAGCAACAGCATCTTTAAGTTAAGTTAAGAATCTATCTTTATATCTGGGGTTGAAAAGGTTCACAAAAATATGAGGTGGAGTTAGTGTTTGATCCCATTCACTCTTTTGGTTCCTGCAGTTCAATTTTCTGGTTAGCGTTTCTTTTATCAGTGTCTCTTGAGGTGCCTTCCAAACTTGGACAGAATCAGCAGTGTAGCAGCAATTTATTTCAAGTTTAAGGGAATGGATAATAGGCTCCACTCTCTTCAGTGAAACTGAAGCAAAATGGTTGTTATGGAAGTATTTTGCGACTTATAACATTTTTTTTAATCCTTGAGATGGTGTATTTTAGTGGCTTAAAGATGGTGTATTTTTGGCTAAAAGATGCAATACATGGACACTGAAGCCATATGTTGTTAAGGAGCATCTTTCTGCTTCTTCTTCTAAGTATCTTTTCATCTTTGCCATGTTTGCAGCATTGTCTGAGACAAAACTGTGCATGTGACAGTTGAGCTTTGTTCAAAATTTAGTACAGCTTTCACTGCCATTTCTTTTAAATATTCTGTTGTGTAGGCATTTCCCGACATGTGTATTGTTTCTAAAAGAAATGCAATCCCATTTTCTTTTGTCACACAGGCACATATTACTAGATCATTGTGTACATTGCTCCACCCCTCAAGGCTTAAACTGACACATTTCCCCTCAGTATTCCCTGCACACTGTTCAATTTCCTTCTCGTACACAGTATTTAGCAGTTTTCCACCAGTGTCTGCTCTGCTAGGTGAAGTGTAGCCTGGTTGTAAGGACTCAATCATGTCAGTAAAGGTGTGTGGTGGTAACAATGCAAAAGTAGAATTTGTGGCATAAATGAACTGAGCAATCTTTTCATCTAGGTGTCTTGTTGGTGTTTGCTGGTCTTTACTACAGACCCACCGATAGTGGTTGTTTTATTTGATGATTGAAATCTTTTGCATACTATTGATATTTTGTCTTTAATATGTTTAGTTGCAAGCTGAAAGCACAACAGATGACTCTGAAGTTGTTGCAGATACAGTCTAATTTGTCACACTTAAATGGGATCCTGAAACATTCTGAATAGATCCTGATTCTGAATAGTCACTCTTCTCACTTCTTGTCACACTATTATTCAGTTAATCATTTCTATTTTTTACTTAATTCACAAGCCATGATGATTAGCTAAGACATTTTTTTTCTAGTAACATCTAACAGCAAATAGCTTGGGAATTTATTTGTTAAATCACTTATTAAAAGGCAAAGCACGAATATTGAAGAATGATGCATTGCAAAGTGAAATATAAGTTACTAACCAATTGGTCTGCATTGTTCTTTAGATATATCCACATCTTCGTCTACATAATTTTCTCCCAATAAGCAGTTTTTCTTATGATGATTCATTCTTGTAACAAGGCCCTGCATCTCCTTCTTGTATTACTTACACTTGACACATTTTCCTTTTTTATCTTAGGAATGAATTTCTTCAAAATATTGCCAGGTGAAATCTGTCTTATGGCCAGGAGCCATGATAGTTTTCTGTGTCAAAAGTGTGGGGGAATATAGGAAGTTCTGTGTGTGCTGAATGATGTGTTCTTGTTTTATTTCCAGTCCATTCCACACTACTGTTCTTTTCTATGCTGCCTCCATCCTTTTCTATGTATTGTGTGTCTGTCATTAAGACAGTGTCTTGAATAACACCTGTGCTATGCTTGGCCGAGCTCTACCACCATATAAGCACAGAACAATAACAATCCTGTGGCTTTCTTTGTAGATGTGACTTTAGTCTGTTGAGAAGCAGAAATTGAAAGCCCAGAACTTTCAAGAAGCAAGAGCTGGTAGTAAGGCTGGGCAAACTAGAGCCATTAATTTGTATGTTTAGCTTGTTTGTGATAAGATTTAATTCTGTTATTTTTAAGCAAGAGGGAAGTTAAGTATTTTATTGATTTAAAAAAAAATCACATTTAAATAAAATCCATTTTTAATTTAAAAAACTTGATTTTTATCCACCTTGCTTTGTACCAGTTTGAAAATAAAAATGAACAAAAGTAAAGCCAGCAGTTCCTTCACATATTCAAGCCAAAAGGTATTCAATCACAGTAGACTTTAAGTTCAACCATATGTTCCTTCCACCACAAACAACTTCTTCCATTATCTTCCTTACCCAAAAAGCCTGTGCAAAAATTGCACTTATATTACAGACGTGCACAGGTAGCAGTATACGTAAAGTACGTAGGCATGCTTCTTGGCAGTAACATTTAAGTATGTACTCTCCCAGCATGACTATAAGGAGTCATGTAGATGGTGAGGTACGGCTTACATGAGTAAAGACACGCCCGAAAGGTGTCTGTATGCAAGTACATACTATAAATGCTCTCTACATACCCAAGCTGTGTTTCCTTCTCTACACCACCAAAAAGAGTATTGTGTGGTGTCTGGCTGCTGCAGCCTTTCCCTATTGTTGGAAAAGTCTATAGCAGCAAGGGAAGTCTCAAGCGAAGGGAGGCAGCTGGAAAAGACTTCAGCAGTTGATCCACGTTGTTCTTAAGATATACTGACATCTTCATCCACATCATTTTCTCCTAATAAGCAGATTTCCTTATAATATTTCATTCTTGCAACTAGGCCCTGTGTTGAAACAGAATCTGGACACCATGTAAGAAGCAAGCAGGAAGGTTTATTACACACAGCGTTGGTGGAGTGTCACTTTGCTTGTTAGGCATGGTGAATACTGCCCAACAATAGGTTACAATGGATTATATAAGATGCTGATGGGCAGATAAAGTGATGGGGGGAGGAAGGTGAAGATCCCAGATCCCCTGGATAGGTACTAACCATGAGGCAAAATGAGGGCAATAATCTAAAGGTTACATAATGTTTTCCACCCGTAGCTTACAGAATACAGTAATTCCTCATTTAACACTGTAGATTCATTTCTGAAAATGTTCGTGCTAAGCAAAAACGTTCTATGCGGGGTCGATTTTCCCATTTAAAAATAATGGAAAAAGTGGTGGTGTGTTTCAGGTAGTGGTGGCTAAGTCATTTTTTTGTTGGTGCTGGGTCGTCAGCGTCAACATTAGATATCTAGCAACACAAGATAACTTGCAACACAAGTCGCCACGGTTTGTTAAAACACGAAGATAAACACGTGAGTGAGCGGAGGAGCGCTGTGACCACATATATTCATCCGCTCATGCATATTACCACTGTTTTCATATTACCGCGTGAAGTAGATTATTGTCTACTTGATTATTGTCATGTTATTTGGTGGACAGTCGTGTTATTCGAAAAACGTTCCCTAAAAAAATCATGCTATTGCGAAAACATGTTAAGCAGGCACCTGTTAAACGAGTAATTACTGTACCTTATATCTAGTTAAACAAGTACTTAAACAAAGCAGAACTCAATTGTCAATTATGTGTTAAGGGGCGATGTGTCTGCTAACGTCAGGAAGGTATATTTGCACGGATGTGATCCATTGGTGTTGCACCTGGGGGACTAAAGCAGAGGCAGTAAGGGTACATGACAATTGCGCATTTGTTCCTAGCACCATTGAATGTGTTATGTCCTGTCTCTCTCACCCATAGGGCCTTTCCCTGGGATGTAATAGTCTGGGTAGTTATCTTTATGATGGCCTTCCTCCGATGGGCTTAGCGGGCGGGAGGCGGTAACCTTCATGTACTGTGCCTTTGGCATAGGTGTTTGTGTGCCTGTTCCAGATTTGGAATTTAGAATAGGGGTTCTTAACAGAATATGATAGCCTGCCTCAGAAATTTTTACTCTACATCTCCTTCTTGTACTGGAAGCAGAGGGGAGCGTCCTGTTAGCACCCTGGTACCCGAGCCCAACCTTGCCATAATAAAAGATTCCGGCACCGGGAAAAGGCTAGGCGCTCCCAACTTCTGGAGTCCATCCTCATAGCAGTGAAAGGCTTTGGCAGCAGGAAGATGATATTCCCTGCTGTGTCCCTACACCAGAGCTTTTCACCGACAAATGAAACTACCCATTGCCATGTGAACACAGCCTGCTTTTTACTCTTGCCAGTAGCTATATGGACGCTACACATCACTTTTATATATCAACAGTTCATAACTTAATTTTTTTGGCTCAGATGCAGAGGGCTTCATTCATTCTCCTTACTTAAGTTGTATCATTTTTGTAGATCATACTTCCACTCAATTCATATGTATGGAGATTTCTGAAATCCTTATAAACATGCTAGCCATTGAATTCTTCTAAAACAGAATTACCACTTTATTTTCCAGTTTATCAAAATATCAGAGGTGTAAAGGCTTGCAAGCTGTACAATCTCTTTATTGCCTTTTGTGCATTTGGACACTTCTGAGGATCTTCCAAAATATCAGAAAGAAGGCTTTTTTTTTTTTTTTTAAATGAAGCCTAAAAATGTGAGCCAGCTAATAAACCTCTGTATTTCCCACTCCTGTGTTTTTGGATAAGTATTACTGGCAAAATTAGTGTTTAGTTTTCTAATGATACCATCAATCTACCTGTAGTTTCTTGAGACACAATACCTTTTCTTTGCATAGTGTCATTAGAACAAAATAGTTAGAAATCTAGAGTCTCTGTACCTACACATAATCAAGTTCAGCACACACCCATACAATACGATTTAGCTGCCTTACAAACAGGCACACATCTAACCTCAGAAGAAATACAGGACATTTGGGTGGAGAAGAGCTATTGTGAAGGCCTAAAGATGCTAGGAAATGCTTTCCTTCATTTCTTGAATGAGTTCTTACATTCTTTCATTGTGTAGATTATGTCAATAGAGCTAGTGCCTTAGATTAATAGATTTTAAGATTTTTATAATCAGCTACCCTGATCATGTACATAACACAGACCATATAGCAGCTGTGGCCAATCCGAGGCGCTCGAGCCCCCTCTCTCCCACCCCCGCATGGCTAGAAAGCTGCCCCCGCATCCCCCAAAACAGCCCCCTCCTTCCGGCTCTCTGTGCTGACCTGGGCAGGGGAGCAGTCGGGCGCAGCCATGAAAGCTGCAGAAATAAAGATGGCAGCAGGAGCCTGCTGTGGCCAAAAAGCCTCAAAACGTGTTTAAATGCAGGTTCTTAAAGGGGCAGAGCCTTTTTTTAGAGCTTTTGTTTGTTTTTGTTTTGCTCGACCAAACGCGACTGGGGGCTCCCTTTGTGTGTGTGTGTGTGTGTGTGTGTGTGTGTGTGTGTGTGTGTGTGTGTGTGTGTGTGTGTGTGTTTGGGTGGTGTGTGGTGGGTTGTTTTTTTGTTTTTTGTTTTTTTTTGTTTTTTTGTTTTGACAACTTTGCCCCAGCTCTTCACGCTGGATCCACTATTATCTTGGCTCAGAATGGGTTTGCCACCCCTGCCATATAATTTCACCCAGTTATCTCTGCAGTAAGCCCAATAACTTGTTTGAACTAAAACTGTTTCTTTAGAAACTCATCTAGCCATGATATAAGGACATCAGGAGTTGGAGAACCTAACACATGGAATTCTAGATGGAATTTTCCCTAGCAGACCACCTCCTGTCCCATTCATATTACTTCCCAATTATAGATTAAGCAATTTTTTTACATAAACGTGTTTGCTAAAAATAACATTTTCTTTGAATTTTCGTTTAGCAATTGTATATAAAGGAAAGCCAGCGCCATTTGTTGGGTTACAATTAGGGAGCCTCTATTCTACACTGTCTGTTCTCTGTTAAACAGTTCAAATTTTTAACTTTTATTCAGAAGGGAAAAAACTGCAGACTTACTTTGAACTTTCACAAATATGTATTTTTAAATTTAATGACTGAAAGTCCTATTTGATATACAGTGTCTCGTAAACTACCAAAGTACTGGAGTCTCTTTCCTTTTGACAGAGAGTAGAGTTATGATACAATCATAATACTCTCCACTGTTACAACATTATGACACAGTGCAAATTGGTCAAGTTGCCTCTAAATCCACAACTTTTTGTTGGCAAAGACTTGAGAGGCTTTTCTTTAGATTCTGAACTTAGCAAGCAACTAAATAGTAACTATATGTTCTTGTATTTTATCTATGGCCTTATTTTGTTTTGTTTTTTTTCAGGTCTACCCAGGGCAAGCTCAAAGTAGTACCTATTTGGTGACAGGGAGTGCACAGTTGGGCCATATCCAAGGCTATAATCTTCCTCAAGAGCAACTTCCTTCTCTTAACCAAGGCACAGTTCCTCCATCTGCGAGCTCAGGACTGCCTGGTCAGCCAGCTCAGACATCTTATGCTAAGTAATTTTAATATTTACCTATTCTTTATACATTAAACATTTCATTCTTGTAAGTAGGACTGACTTTTAAGGGGAAAATTGTTTTTGGACAGACATAATTGTTTTGGATTTTAGCCATTATTGACTGAACTCTGCAGCACATTTACTTCCAGTGTCTATTTACTGATGTTTAGATAACAAAAGTATTTTTAGTAGTTGTCTGAACTTTGTACACAAAACATTCTCTGATTTGTGCAATAATGATGTGAAGAAACTATGGCCATTGTTGGGTTCCAAATAACCATGTTCACTAAATATATGCAACATTCAAGGCAGATTCAAGTATACATACTGTTGGTCTGACTGGTGTCTGGTACTGTCTAAAACACAAAGTATGGTGTGTTCCATTAGGGGTGATTGCTCCTCCTTTGCTGCCAGCACCTTACTGTGTTGACAGGTTCTGATCATGTTAGAAATGGGTTAAGTGGATTCTGCAGAGTCTCTGAAGTTTGTACATTTACCCTGATACAAGGGGATTGGAATTGGGTCTCTGTAGAGGAAGTATCTAGGGCAGGGCTACTCAACTTTGGAAGCCCCGGGAGGCACAATGCTACTCACAGCACATGCCAAGGGCTGTCACTTGAGTGTGGTTGCATATACAAGCAAATAGCTTTTTCACACTGACGGGCATGAATACAAAAATGAAGGCAAGACCACACAACATGCAGGCCCTATTTAAGTCAGTTGTTTTGATATTAATAAAATGCAATTATTTACCCAATTTCCACCCATATGACAGCCCTTTTAATGAGTAATGACCGTCCAGGAATTTAACTAGTACACACACATCAGCAGAAGACCATTATATTGACTCGCTGTTGTAGAGCTTGTTCCCAGTGGAGGCCATGTTCAAAGGATCCCACCCGTGGGCCATGTGTTGAACCCTGCGTAAATCCAAATCGCAAACAAATGGCCCGTGGGACATGTGTTGAGTAGCCCTGATCTAGTGAGCAACCTGTACAGGGTCAAAAGTTTGAGCTGGACTTAAATTAACTCAAGAAAAGGTTGAGGTTTTGGCTTTCTGCAGTGACTTGGTTTTAAAGAAGGCTGGGAAAGATATCTGTCTTAAGTCATATTTTAAAGAATTTATTTTTTCCTTGCTTAAATTATTTATTGGAAGATGTGATGTGAGAAATATACATTGGTAAAGCTTGTTCATTCTTTGTATTATGTATATTAACAAAAATATTAGAAATAGTAATATGTGTTATATACAGTAGGAAATACAAGCATAGTTTTATCATCCAGAGTTAAATTTATGAATATGAAGTTTGGGAGTATGGACCTCTTCAGGAGTTTCTTTGAAACTGAGCCCAGGCGAGGTGCTTTCATGCCTATGTAATAGATCTAAAGAAATAATAAAACTTGTGTTAATTTTTCTGTCCTATTGCCTTGTTTCCTACCCTATTACTTATGCAACTTTTCATGTTCCTTTCTCTCAGTGCAATGGTCAGCTCTGTTCCTGGAAACACGTATTCCAACCAGGCTTCAGTGTACAGTCCACCTCCTGCTACTGTTGATGCTGCTTACCAGAATGCTGGAACTAGTGTGTCCCAGGTGCCAAATTATAACTTAGCATCTTCAACTCTGCCTCCACCAGCAGGCAGTCAGCAACCACCGCCGTCACAGCAACATACTTATTCTCAGAAGGCACTACTATAGGACCCAGGACTTCTAATTCTTAATCTTCTCTAACCTCTGCTAAATGCAGTTGACAATGTTATAAGCTTCTTCCTTTAATCCTTAAACATTGTTTATCCTTGGTTAATAGGAATCTACCCTGGTGAACAGGTTCAATGATTCAATTTGCACTGACTTTTTAGGATTTTTTTTTAAATTTTGCAGAGGAACAAAATACTTAGGACACTTAATTCCTTTTAAAAGGCCTAAAATTGGTACAAGATTATTTATGTCTGGTAAGATTGGCTCGTCTGTGAAAACTCAAAACCTGCAAACTTTTGTGTCATAAATGTTATGTATATAATAGTGTGTGATTGAAATAGTGGCCATTTGAAATAGCTATGGTGATCATATGAATATATTTAACACTGTTAAAATATTTTACATTACTGTTTTATTTTAATCATGAACAGATGACCATGTTTCATAGTTGTACCTACTTTTGTGAAGGATGTGATATCCTTTTGCAATGCAGAAAAAGTCTTAAATCTGCATATCATGGTTAATATTTACATGCTAAAGTCTATATGTTAATTTCCAAACGTAACTACATTTAGGTTCCATTCGTTGTAAATTGCACTTAAGCATATCATGGCTTCCTGTAGTTTGCAGACACTAGTAGCTGGCATTATCTACCAAAGTAAACTAGTTAACCTTTTAACGGTCTGGCTAGATCACCACAAATGATGATTCTGTTTTAGAATAATAATTATTTAAAACAACTATTTACAGGCTGCTAAACATATCATTGGACCATGAAACTGATTAGAATCTTAGAACATATTGTTTAAAGCATATAATGATGTACTTTTCCATTCTGGCTTTGTATAACTAGGGTTCTGAACTGTATTGTGTGTATATTGGTGAAGATTACACCAAAGACCAAGAAACTGAGTTTGGATGGGAATTAATGGAATTTTTAAACTGGAACAAAAACATGAATACACTACATTATTTATGGCTCTTGTAATTATTTAGGTCACACATGAAGAGTTGTATATAGGAATAGTCACTTGGCTGAGGAAATCTTTACTTTTATTGTAACTCTTGTGGCCTTGCTTAGCTAAATTGTTCTGTTTACTATTATTACAAAAAACACTTTAGCCTTAATCCAACATCTCTTCTTACTTTCATACATTTTAGTTGTGTGATGCCTTGTGGTTTTTTAAAATTCCTTTCTTAGTATGTATAGGTTCTCATTCATCTTATCAAGATTCTTCTATAATTTTAACCCAGTTATGATCATTTAAATATGATGTGAACTTACACAGGTTGCCCTATGTCTTACTCTTTGAGGCATGAAACTCTGTATGCCACTTATATACTCAGTGGAGGGGTAACAATAATAACACAGCATTTTAGAGAGATCTAATCAACGCATCCTGCACAAAAGTGTTTGTTTTGATTTGTAGTCTATTTCTGTTGATGCATCCTAGCATCCCATTTACCTTTTTAATTCAGCCCATTTTGTGTAGATAACTTTATAGGTCTCTCAATATAAAACCCACATTTTATTTTTGGTGAGCATAAGTGCCATAATTATTCAATTTGGTAGTATTTTCCATTTTACTGTATTGCTTCTGATGTTTCATTCATATACATGTGTAACTGCTCAGTTACCTTGACTAGCCAATAGTTTCTGAACCTGTTTGCAGTGTTCATAGCTATTTGCCATATAATTGGCTTTGCCATCATTAGAAAACAATAGTTGATACCTTGTCTGTGAATGTTGTCAACCAAATGTCTTGTGTAAATACTAAACAAGATGGGTTGAAAACTTTCCTCCAACTTACAGCATTCCAGGTTAATGATATTTTTTCAGCTAGTGAAGCTTGACTATATTTAGCTGTTTCTTGTAATTCCCTCCAACAATCTAATTATCCTCATAAGTGACAACTTCTTAGTATAACCAGTTAAGTTTGTGGAATTTAAGGAGGAACATAAAACAATGTTTTGCAATCTTGTATACCTTACAATGCTTTATTTCTTGAGGAAGACCTGTAACTAGGATTATGGGCTATCCTCTGTGCATATTGGGCAATTTATTCCAAAAGGAGAGCAATGATTTTGATGGAGAGGAGTAAAATTTCTAAACAAACAAAAAACTCCTTCCAATTCACAGTTTTTAGACCCTAATTCAGGATTATAACCTAAGTGAACCTGTACTCAGAGAACCTGTGCCTAACTTTAACTATGAACATAGTCCCATTGGTTTCAGTAGAACTGCTCATGAGCTGAAAGTTAGGCACATGCTTCACTACATTCCCAAATAAGGGCCTCAGGCTTTTGTAACTACTAATAAGAAACAGTGGAATTCTCTATGGCCCAGCAAAACCAGATTTTAAAGCCTTGTGCTGAATACTGATACTGTTCTCTTCCATAAAATCTATAGTACATCTGGCATCTTTTGTCCTTTTTTCAATTTAAATTGTCTATTAGAATTTTCATACATTGGAAAATATAAACAAATTTATTCTGAAAACTTTTAGTGCAAGTCTGGGTTCAATAAAGCACAGGTGTAGTGTTATTTACCGAGCATTGAAAATCTATAATACGCATTTTACATGCTCCTATCCTCCACCCTATGTTTCATGCATATTTATTCACTTTTAAGTTTTATGTCTCAAATAGCTTTTGGCCAAGTGTGCACTTCATTTTCCTCTCCCAGCACTCCACA